AGTGCCTCTCCCTGCAGCTTCCGGTGACTGTAGCTGCTCCGGCTTTGACCTCTGCTTTCTCAGTGCAGGGGGATTGTACTGTGCTTGGCTAGGACAGTAGCTCACTGCACAGTAGCTAGGACTTCATGTAGCTCACCTTTTCCTTCCACGAAGGGATTGCACATTAATTAATTTTAATAAAGATCTCAGTCATTTATTTCTGGAGAGTCACAAATTATTGGTAAGCTGTGTTGTCTCCTCAAGGCAGTTACCTGAACTTGATACACAATAAATAACCTGAAGGAAACACTCAGAGGCAGCTCAATGCTTCTCAATGGCCTATTGATGGAGGCTCACCTAAGGTCTCTCAGTAGCTCACCTACTACCTGCCTCATTGGGAGACGCGGGGGAGCATCATTTCATAGGTTTCACTGGACTGCACTCTGTCTCCCATCGATATGAGATGCTGAAGTGCCCTTCCTAGGGGAACCGAGTGAGGCCCACTATGCTCAGATTCGCCTTGAACTCTCTATCCAATTTTGTGGTTGTCAGAGTAATTTAATATTTCAAAACTTGTATAACATAATTGAGTTTTGTGTACCTCTTTTATTGTTCTTAGCTAAATATTAACTGTATGAAATAATAAACTACTTTTCGGCATATCGTTTTTTAAAATTAATATCGTCATTAGGACAAGGAACCAGTTGTTAAATTATTTGAGTCCTAGCACTGCCTGTGAGACGACGGAAGGTCGAATGGCTTGGCTCCTGCGCGCTCAGTGTTCAGCGTGCTCCCTTTGCTCTTCAACACTGTCCTGAGCGGGTCTGTGAAATCCAATCCATTGTTTGGTGTCTTGACTGGTGCTTCCTTCCACGAGCACTGATGGTGGATCCACGATATTACTTCTTAGTCTGTGTTATTTTTATGCCTCTCTGTCTAACTGTCCTACTCCACTTTTTCAATATTGGATAGTCTTTGAAATTTTCCTTTCCAAACGAGTACTTATGGACATCTCCGTAAGTCAGCCTACAGAGTAGTTAGAAACACAGGTCCTGGAGCCCACTTATTTAGGTTTGGACTTATTTAAGTGTGGATGTCAACCAATGACGTCCACACTTAAATAACCAATTGAACTCCAATGCTCGCCATTTACTAACTGGGGGACCTGGGGCAATTTACTTCCTGTCTGAGTCTCAACTTCCTCTCCGAAAAGGATTATCACAGTATTCCTCATCTAGTTCATGTGAAAAATAAATGAAAGAAGCAATGTCAAATGCCAGGTAGAGAGCCAAATGACCTCTGTTGTATTTTTTCAATCAAATCCTTTTTCCTTCTTGCCCTTTATGCTTCCCCCCAGGTTTTTAAAGACCATACGGACTAAGCACTCACATTTCCCACTATGTAGACTTGTCACTGCTAGATAATTATGACTTTACCTTACAAATTCACCAGAACTGCTTAAGTTAAAATTCAGAATCCTTTCCCCGCCTGGCACTGTTCCCATGATCGTCTTGTTGGCTTCCCCCCCATTTTTAATGAGTCCTCTAGATTTGAAATTTTATCCAGGTGTAGTAAAGATCTATTTTGTGTAGTAAAGATCTATTTTTTAAAAAATCACGAGTGATCCCCGCCCCCCCTCCCCTCGGTTTATAAACAAGTATTATGTTCAACACATCGTCTACCGGGGAGACCAGTTTTAAAGATTTATAAGTAAAAGTACCAATTTCTACTCAAACTCTTTTGGAATCCAAGAAGCAAGTCCATTTTAAGAAAAGTGGGTGAAGGGAGACGTCGGACAGGGCAAGATATGACAAAATAACAATTTATAAACTATCAAGGGCTCATGAGGGAGAGGGGAGCCGGGAGGGAGGGGGAAAATGAGGACCTAATGCCAGGGGCTTACGTGGAGAGGAAATGTTTTGAGAATGATGAGGGCAATGAATGTATCAATGCGCTTTGCACAACTGATGTGTGTATGGATTGTGATAAGAGTTGTCCGAGCCCGTAATAAAATGATTTAAAAAAAAAGAATGCACACTCTAAAAGGGCAATACTTCCTCGAGGACAAATCTCAGGGGTCAGGAAAGGAGGAGGAAGGGAACCAGGAAAGCCAGGGAGGAGGTGGGATGAGCGGTGTTACAAGCACATATCCATCGGGTGCTGACCATATGATGAGTATCCGTGATAAACGTGGCCCTGCTCTCAAAAAGGGCTCCGAGAGAGAAAAGGGTGGAAGCAGTCTTCCCTACACAGCCCTTCTCCCCCCATAAAGATCTCTAGTAAATTAATTGCTCAACCACAATTGTCTACTTTCCTATCTCTTCATTTGGTGAATCCTCTCACTTTGTTCTCAGAGTTCTAAGTGCCATAAGGTGCCTGGTTCAAGACCCATCTTTTGGAGCACAAACTTCCAGTTTATAGTTAATACAAAGGACAGAGGCCCGTGCCAAACGAGGAGGCAACATCGAGGCGACAGCAAGCGCAAATGCAGAAGGCAGGGCGCATTTGAAGGGGACAAGCCTATTTCTCCAACAAGCCATCATCTAAGGGGCTGCACCAGATGAAAAGAGACTGGGGGGAGAAAACGCCGCCGTCCACTGCGATGTTGTAGACGGAACATCGGATTTGACAAACCAGCTGTGAAAGGTACTGTCAGGTCACCTGGGAGAGTATGATCTGGATATTAAACAGAAAATTTACTGAAGTGGAAATCATTGATTAAAAAAATAATTAAAAAATTAAAAAGCGATCATCTTAAAACAAAAAAAAGGCAGGCGTACTATAACCACAATTGTACATAAGGTTTTATAGCCTGCACGATACCTTCTGGTTTACAAGCTCTTATAGGTTCCCCTCCCCACCAAAAAAAACCCCAAATACTGGATGGGAGGTGGAGTGGGGGTGGGGGTGGGGTCCTTCAGCATGAAAAGGAGAACAGCTAGAAGAGCCAGGGGGTGGCTGACTGGGGCAGGGGATTGTTTAATGTGTCTCTTCTAGCAAGTCTCTAGTTCTATTCCACACAATAGAAGTGGGGTGGATAGCACACAGGCCACTGAAGTAATTCTAATGTGTAATGAAAATCTTTTCAAAACTTACTGAACACAGTAAGTGCATACATTGTTACTTGTATCTGATGTGATTTTGAAGATGTTTTATTTAAAGCTCCCTGCAAATTATAATGAATACAGTCATTACAGATAATTAAACTACTATGAAGATGAAAAAATTATAGGTAGTAAAACTATATATTTTATCTCACTTTTTGGGAAAATTGATAAATAGGAAACCCAAAGACTTGTGACTAGATATTTATGCTAATGAAACCTTCATAAAACTTAAAAAGATTAATTGGACATCCCCTTACAGAGGGGCCGAGGAGTGGAGATGAGCCAGTCAGGGTGCAGGGTAGCAACGATGAAACATACAACTTTTCTCTGGTTCCTAAATGCTTCCTCCCCACCACTATCATGATCCCAGTTCTACCTTACAAATCTGGCTGGACCGGAGGATGTACACTGGTACAGATAGAAACTGGAAACAGGGAATCCAGGACAGATGATCACTTCAGGACCAGTGCTGAGAGTGGTGAAACTGGGAGGGTGGGGTGAAAAGGGAGAACCAATTACAAGGATCTACATATAACCTCCTTCCTGGGGAATGAGCAACAGAAAAGTGGGTGAAGGGAGTCGTTGGACAGTGTAAGATATGACAAAATAATAACAATTTATAAATGATCAAGGGTTCATGAGGGAGGGGAAGTGGGGAGGGAGCAGGAAAAAATGAGGAGCTGATACCCAGGGCTCAAGCGGAAAGCAAATGTTTTGAGAATGATGGCAACCAATGTGCTTGACACAATGGATGTATGTATGGATTGTGATAAGAGTTGTACGAGCCTCCAATAAAATGATTTTAAAAAACCTTAAAAGATTTCTAGAATATACAGTTGAGCATTCAACCTCATAAATCCACTGTATTGGATCAATTGTGACTTCTGGTGATCCCACAGGACAGAACAGACCTGGCCCAGTGGGTTTCCAAGGCTGTAATCTCCAGAGACATGGTCACTTCTTTCAGTTGGTGGGTTTAAACCACCAACCTGGCAGTTGGTAGTTGAATGCTTAACCACTGCGTGCTTGACATGGAGCACCGATGACTTCAATTCAAAGCTCTAGCTAGGCAAGACGTTTCCTTTAAAAACAAAGCAAACCAAAAAACCCTACCAAAGTGAAGCCGTACAGGTAATTCATTCCTAGGTTTCTATTTCGGACTCTTGAGTCTCGGCTCTGGTATCAAGAGACTAGAACACTCTTTCGCTTTACATCAGAAAGACCCTCAATAGAAATTCACCCACTGAATTATGAGCAGTGAGGCTGCGTTCTCATTAAAACGTAGTTTTGTTTTCTCCTGCCTCTTTCACTCTTTGGAGACGTGTTTCCTTAACCTCAGTCGATTCTGTGTTCTCTCCAAAAATTACTGTCTCCTTACTGATTTGAATTGGCTGAAACATGAGGCCCTCTTCCAGAGCTGGTGTATCACGTTCTGAACCCTTTCCTAACGTAGGGCTGTCGCGTACTGCTGCAGTGAGAACACACGTTAACTGCACAGACGGGTTGGTTGCTGAGAAAACTTTTAGTAAAGGATGCACAGCTACTAAGCAACTTTCTGAGAATGAAGTATTTCCATGGCTTACATCCTGGTACATTTTGATATGACACCAATCTTTTGAGTTCATAAAGCACCTCTTTTTGCCCCAGGATTTAAAAGTTCCATTCAAACATAAATCCATTTACACCCCACCCCCGACCAAAGCCCTTCAAAGTCCAAAAAGCATACGTCTTCATACAAAGTGCTTCCAGAATGAGTCTGTGAATCATCGTGTTTTCAGACACATGCACTGAGAACTCCAACAACAAAAATCAAACATGGAAACATCGCATCGGGGTGGCTTTTAAAAATAACCTCGCTTTAAAAGGAACGATGTGACAGCTCTCCATTTGCTACAATTTCTGAAACGGTCTTACCTATTAATGTAGCTGAGGGCAACATAGGTTGGCTGTTGTAATTCTTGTTTTTCTAAAACACGTGGATCGGTATCTGTAACAAAAACACAACGATGACTTTTCAGTTTTCGCATCAAGATATATGAGGCTGCCCAACACAGGCTAAACGGAGAGAGATTCATTTCATACACCTCTTTGTAGACAAAACCCAGTCAGCAAAGCCCAATCATTTGCTCCTTCGTTCCTAAAGAACAAGATCTTGCGTTACTTTTTGAGGGAATTCCAAACATCAACCGTGATAAAATGCCCATCTGTCCTGCAAACTCTGGCACAATCCCCCTCATAAATATTGGTTTTCACTGCTTACAATGTTGGCATGGTTTTGGGTGGTTAATCGGCCCAAGAAAGAAAGCCCGTTAATTATGATCATTCAGTGCTGGAACAAATTAGCCACCACTGCAAAGTTCCATCCGCTTGAAATTCTACAGACCAGTATTGTTGTTGTGTATCAGACTTTGGCCTGGTTTTGGATTCATTTTCTGAAGAGCAACTCTTCTCCCTAAATGTCTAAGGTGTGTGTGGGGGGGGGCTTCAAAAAGTTTGTGGGATTTCCCCATGAACGTTTGGAAGTCCCCTTGTTATCATTTATGCTTTCTGCTAAACTCCATCAGTCATTGTCATGTTGGTCCCGACTCTGTAAATACCACCTTCACCACCATTCTCTTCCCTCCTCCAGGAGACAAATTCAACCCCAGAGCGACTCTCCCCCTCGGTCTGCTTCCTCTAGCACAGCCCCGCACCCCAAACAACAACAACAACAACAACAACAACACTTTTCACAATCAGAAACACATTCTCAAGCTTTGAAGGCAGAGACACATTGTGATAAACATATGCAAAAAGCATGTTTCCCTAACAAGACTCAGAAAGGGAGAAAGTGAGCTCATTTTCACATTTCCTTGGGGGGGGGGGGCGCATCAGGCATTTAACACAGACTTAATTTTAACCTCTTTTCAAACCACCTCATTATTAGAAGTCTTCCAGCTGCACTTGGCAAGAACACCTTCTTTGATGTCATGACAGATGTTGTTTCAGGCACCTTGGTCGGCGCGCTCTCGCTGCGAGCGGGAGGTGTAAGATCCACAGCCTAACTTTAAAGAGCCCTAACAGGTGGCGGGGGTGAGGGAGCAGACAGCGGCACAGAGCACGGGTGGCGGAAGTGATAGCACAGAAATCAATGTAGAATGCTTTTCGGTCCCCGACTGCCACGCAGAGCAGTGCCTGTTTTATTCTTGGCGCTGAAGTGAAGACCATCATGTGCATGTTATGGTTTCTCCTTTGCCAAGAATGCCAGGGACACTCTATCCAGGAGTCCTGGGGGTTGGGTCTTCGCCATCGCCACATTGCCTGGGTCCTGGAAATCCCAATTCCCCACGAGTGGACAAGATTCTTTGAATGGAGGTGGCTCCAGGCTTTGGTCGCACGAAGGAGGACAGACCAACAAGAGTCGGTCTTCCTTGTGCTGCTGCCAAAGATTACATAAGCAACGCGGAGGCAGCCCCTCGGCGACTGGCCTATACACACACCGGCAAGTTTCCAACTACCCAGAGACCACTCTTCTCCAGACACATATTTTCCCAACATAATCCTTACTCACACCACTCCAAGTTTATTGGGAACTCAAAGTACACCCATGTTTCTGAGAGAGCTGCCTTGTGCTTTTGACCTCGACTGGCTGGAGAGGAGTCAGAACCAAGCTTCGGAGACTTGAAATGCTGGGCAGGCCACGAAGGCAAATGGTGATTGATGTACCCATTGTACCAGGTCTTTGTGGGTGGTGAACAATAGGCTGGAGGCATACCCCATGGAAAGAAAAAGAAAGGAGGGAGGTAAGAAAGAAGAAGGCAATGATTGCCAATGTCTTTCTGGCAATTTTCTCAAGCACTCACCAAATGGTAGGTCAAGTTTAGGAATTGATGATCAAGAGGCTGAGCTGTTACGACAGGGGCTTGAACTTGTCTCGTTAAAACTCATTCTTTCACAAGAGACAAGCTGGAGTGTGATTACATCAGGTAATCATCCCGTAAAGAGTGACTGTCTCGGAAGCTCGGAGGGGCAGTTCTACCCTGTCCTATAAAGTCGCGATGAGTTGGCATGGACTCAATGGCAGTTGAGTTTAGTGTTGGTTGATGTATATGTATCTATCTTAAAAACAAAACAAAAAACAACTTCAACAGAGGAGACCTCACCTCAGCAAGGGGAGGTTTCACCAGATGTGGGGAGAGGGAGAAAAACCATTCCATTTCTGTCATTCAACATTGTGCTAAGGTCACGCCGAATCCACAGATACTCCTACACGAACGATAAGCAAATCTTACTGGAAATTCAAGTCGAAACAAGGGCAAGGGAACAAGCATGTCTCTGAGAAAGTGATTATACTTCTGTTGCTGGGTAAACTGGGTGAAACAACTTCCCATGGGGGAAAAACGCTTAGCATTCCATAGATAGAACCAAGGTAAGAGTATGCCCTGTACTATCTCCCTAATCAGATACTTGTGACCTGGTTTCAATCCAGCCCTTGATGACCAGGCAGGGTGTGTGCTAGAGACTACTGAGACTTCAGACTCTGTCCTTTAGAGCCGCACAATACAGATCATGCCGGAAGGGTTTGATGCGGAAGCCCCAATAATGGAACTGGGCTTTACCTCAAAGCCACCTGAAGCAGATTGAAGGAACTGACATGCTCCTTTGCACTTACGGCTGAAATGCCCTAGTGGGAGAAGAATCAAATGACTGCTCTTCCAAAGTTTTGGATTGGAGGTCATTGGATTTTGGTTCGATCTCTTGCTTTGAGGGGGACCAATGAAGGAACGGTGGCCCAGCCCTACCACATAGTCACTATTTTAAGGCCTCCTTGCTTTCTTATGACTCGTATCAGTCTGCCCGGCATGTGGATGTGTGTTACTGAAAGTTCTGCTATATCACCAACCTGCAATTTTGGTGTAAATAGTATGCAGTCACTTCAGTGTACAATCAATACAAATCAACAATTAAAGCATTGTGGTTTGAAAAGCTGACCTATACATGTATAATTTCCTTTTCTCAATAGTGTTTTAAATTCTATACCATTGGCTAAATTAATGACACTATCAATGGAATTACCTTATGGTCCAATGAGATGAGTTATAATGTTCTCCATCATAACACGATAATAATGTCTCTAAAGTGAACCAGAGACGCATTTAAATCATAGATATAGGAATGGATTTGGGGCTTGCATTTAATTCTATCCCCATTCTAAGAACAATTAGTTCTCATGACATGGCCCTGCTCAATAACTGCCCTCATGAAGAGCTATCACTGAAGATCTGGATGCTACAGTAAAGCGTGATGAGACACAGAAAGGGCCCTGCTATCAAAAACAATAGCTTCTAAGGCCTTAAAGGCTTGTCTTTAAACAAGCTGTCATCTCAGTGAGGTGTTAAATAAGTCCCCAGGAAAGAAGCATACTAGCCTGTTTGATCCAAGGACTGGAAACAATAAAATCCAAATCCAGAAGAGGGAATGGTATCAGAGCTTAATTAAAAAAAAATCATTTTATTGGGGGCTCTTACAGCTCTTATTACAAACCGTACATATATCCATTGTGTCAAACACATCTGTACATGTATTGTCATCATCTTTTCCAAAACATTTTCTTTCTATTTGAGCCCCTGGAATCAGCTCCTCATTTTCCCCCTCCCTCCACCACCCTCCCTCACCCATGCCCCCATGATAATTTATAAATTATTGTTTTTTTTCCAGAGCTTTAATTTTGAATAGCAGTTTTCAGAAGGTTATGGGATGACAGTGGAAGCCCCAAGTCCATTTGTAGGGTCCCAGCATGGATTGAGCCTCCAGTGAATCCCCTCTGACCATACCCAAGGGCTGTGAATAGCCTTGCTATCAGATAGGGAGAACTGTAACGTCAATTATGGCAGATGGAGTTAGGTTAAAATCGAACACTTTATCATTTGATTGCCTTCTGACACATTTTAAAGTTGTTTCAGTTTTTAGTTATTTCCCGCTTTCTGTTAAATTGAAGTTTTTCTCTGTTTTGTTTTGTTAGTTTCTGCTGGTGTTTAGTTTGATTTTCTGTATGTGAAATGCAGGATAGTTAAATCTATAGCAATGTAACTGGATTAACAATTACCTTGGGACATAACAGGGGAGGTTGGGGTGGGAAGAAGGGAAGCTAACAACAATGAGTATGAGAAGAAAATGTTCTTAATAAGATTGAATAATTATATTATATTCTTTGTGAATTATGTGCCAATAAAACTATTTTTAAAAATAACAGAATGAACTGAATGGATTCACTCTGTGCTGAATTCAAGGACAATCACCAACCCTCCAAGCCCCGCCCCCAGCTTCTTTATATTGTGTTGTTCATTGTTGAGAAAAGGTTTGCCAAGTTGATAAAATAAAATCTATCATGTGGATTAGAATGGTATAGCAAACAATCAGGTATTTCTCTTGCATGTGTATTTATGGCACCAGCAGAAACTTGGAATTGGAATTGCCAATAATTTCCCACCTGGGTAAATCCGTGCTCTGTGGGGTAGAAAACAAGATTCTTTCATAGCCATGCTTCATAAGCTGACAGCTGGACAAGAAGGCGAGTGTTTATTTTACATGGTGGTCGCCCGCCACACAGAACCCTCTGCCATTTTTATACCACTGATGCTGCCGGTGGGGCAGTGGGTAGCCCAAACCGGCACCAGCTGAGACCAGGAGAATGTTCTCTGCCTCATGTACCCGTTCACACTCAGCTTTCACCTTGACTGAAGTAATTCAAATATTAAAACACATTCTAAACGATCACACCAATAAAGACCTCTGAGCTCACTCCAAAGCTTCTAAAACTTAAACCCATGGCCATTGAGCCGACCCTGACTCACAGCAACCCTAGCAGGACAGAGTCGACTTGCCCCTGCGGGTTTCCAAGACTGCAACTCTTTTTGGGAGTACAAAGCCTCATCTTTCTCCTGAGGAGCAGCTGGTGGTTTCGAACGTCTGACTTTGTGGTTAGCACCGTCTAGAGCAGCGGTTCTC